TCACTTTAAGCCCTCCATTTCTATTATAGGGTGTGTAATATTTTTACATTGTTAACTATTAAGAAAATATCACCTCGTGGTTTCGATTCATGATCAGTAAGCGGAACTCATTCTTTGATTTATGCAAAAGACTACTTTACCCCGGAGGTAGAGGAAATGAGGAAGGTTTGGTTTACCACATCCTTAAGGTATCGGTAAAGGGAAACGAGGTGCCCACAGAAAACAATTGTAGTCGCGCGAGTATTTTCGCTACAAAGGCAAGTTATATATCAAATTAAAGCTAAAAGACTAAATTACCTTATAAAAGATTTTATTTCATCGAATTTCAAAAGGTTTTTTGCTCTCGAACTCAGAGGTATCGAGTTTACTTCTGAAGTTCCAGCCCTTTCGCGTTGTTAAATATTCACTTCCTTTTTATTGCATCTGATTGACAGATAAAAGACCTAAAAAAGGGTGTGAGGAATTTTCCCATTTCACTTTGTAACTCATTTTATGTCAGTTTCTTTGCGTAAATCGCGCTCGAGATTCGACTTTTTAGTTTGAAATGCAATAATTCCGCTAATACGAGACATATGCAAATTTCCTCACACCCTTTATTCCTTCTTTTATCTGTCAATCAGATGCAATAAAAAGGAACTGAATATTTAACAATGCGAAAGGGCTGAAGCTTCAGCAGTAAACTCGATACCTCTGAGTTCGAGAGCAAAAATTTGAATTTCGATGAAATAAAATGTTTTATAAGGTAATTTAGTCTTTTAGCTTTAATTTGATATATAACTTGCCTTTGTAGCGAAAATACTCGCGCGACTAGAATTTTTTTCTGTGGGCACCTCGCTTTCCTTTACCGAGACCTTAATTCCACCGCGGGAAAAACTGGAGGCTTTGCATCCTCAGCGGGGAAGGGACGGGGTGACTTGGGTTAATTTTTGCTGGGTATGTGCTGCTGGCCTCTCAGAACCCCTACCCCATTGTAGTCTATTCTGTGGCCATATTATAGATCCCATCTTAGTCACTTTTGGAAAAAAGTAATTTTCGCAACCCCAACTTAGTCACTTTCTGTTTATGCATCTACCTAAATATAAAGCCTTTTAACTTTAAGGCATCCTGAAATGAACTGATACATTTGTTAAACTTTAAGTGGTGTAAATCTTTCTATTTTTAAATCCCTACATACCTGAATTTTCTGACCCCCAAACTCCTGAAAATGTGCGACCCCATTCTAGTAACTCTCATAAAAATGCAACCCCATAATAGTCAATCCAGTCATGAAAATGCCACTCAGCGGCACATGCCCATTAGCCTACTACTAGGGAGTATTGAACGCCCCCCGCCCCCGCCCCCCGGTCTCGATTTCGAGTTGTCTTAAAACAAGAATACATAAACTAGCCGTCGACAAGATCGTGGGCTTAAAGCTCTCTCCTTGTGGGGAAAATAAAGGCCAACTCAGGACTCGGAAGATTGCATATTCTCAGGTATTGTTATGTAAATATCCATTTTCATCATGTTATTCCTTGTATGCACTTCTTCTAATAAGGTGAGCTGGGTCATCATAATGGCATCTCAAGTTTACTTTGGTTTCATGTTGTTCGATCAATATGACACCCCTCTGATAGTCCTGTGGATGAAAGCTTGATACAGTTATGTTTAATGAGCTAATCCCAAAGGATATGGCGTTTGTATTTTTGTGAGACTGTATAAGTGCATGGGAAAATTACTACAAAGGACGTACTCAACCTACTGGCTCTTCTACAGACCCTGGTTCTTCAAACATTTACTAAATACTTAATCATCTGTGCATAAATAGCTCTCAAGGATGTTGGCTGGGAAATTACCAATTGTGCTTTTATATCCACTGGATAGAGATTATAGCCAGTGAAATATTTAGCACTATCCACCCTTTTGAACAAATGGGTGAGCTCAAAGGGCTGGACACATAAATTCCTTCAAGAATATAATTGTTTCTGAGATTTGAAGGTTATTTAAGGTGATAAATATTGCATGAGCCAGACTAAAATTCTCACTGTCAGTCTGTCTGTTCTTTGTTATACTTGTCATGTTTGGATGACATGAATTAGTTATGACTGTTAATTTACCATAACTATAAATAATTTATTTAGTTTCATAACAGATACTATAACATATTAGATAAACAGCCTTATGCTGAGGACCTTCTGGTGCAAAGAAAGATAATAATGATGATGATTATGATTATGATGTTGATGATGATGATGATGATATAGGTAATACAAAAAAAAAATCACACTGACAGGTCAAGATTACCTCCTGGCCATTTTTTTTCCTTTGAGTTTTGTCTTTTTTTGTGCTGATATAGTTTTCAGGACTTCATCACTCCAAAAATAATGCATACATAGTACTGCCACTGGTCAATTGCAATGTATTATTAAGGTGATTCCTTAGTAAAAGAACCTAACATAGATTGTGGATGAAACTTGGTACAATGATCTAACAAGTCAAAAGGATGATAAAAAAGTAATAAAAAGTGGGGGTCACCGTGCTTGTTTTGACGTCACAATGCTGACAAATATGGCTATTTAGGACCCTTTGACAAAAACCCCGCGAAGCCCAAAAGCAGACAAAAAGGAGAGTTTTTTTCGCTGATGCATGGGGTATCGCACAGAATTTGACTTTAATGTATTGTTTTTCCACTTACGCACCAGAAAAATGCCTTTTAATGCCCTTGTTTTTACTTTACGCTCCAAAGTAGATTTAAATTGGACACGCGCTATTCGACCCTTGATAGCTCAATCCGTACAATTTAGTAAAATTGCCAAAAAACTGAACATAGATTTGTGCCAATTTTTTTCTCATCGAGAGGAAGCACCGTCCTTATTAAAATCATGAAATAAATAATGGAGGTCACCGTACTCGTTTTTGCGGTAGAGCTGCAGAAAGTGCGCACCTCATGCCTTTTCTCCGATTTTTGAAAGAGGACTGGGGCGAGATTCAAAATGGCATGAATGTGAAAGGGGAAAGAAAGTAATAAAAAATCCGTTTTTACGGAATTTACATCGAGATATCACAGTTAGGACACAATCTGATAAAGAAAGCGTTTAAATGAAAATCAAAGTGAGTAAGTACAAGTTTAACATCCACTCGGTGAGGTTCTCCGTGAGGAAGTCGAACTCAGCAACACGCTTACTGCTTACGTTATGCACATTCCCAACACATTGAGTCGCATCTCGGTAAGAAACAACCGCAAGCGAAAATTTCAATAGCGTTTCTTTTCAGTCAACTTCATTTTAATAATGTTACAGTGGAACCCCGTTAATGCGACCACCGTTGGGCCATAAAATCCTGGTCGTAATAACGAGGTGGTCGCACTAACGGGGTCTACAAAATAATAAAATGACTCAATCGTTTTTACGTTTGGTTTGAAAGAATATGGCCGTAATAACGAGGTGGTCTTATAAACGGGGTGGTCGTAAGGCGGGGTTCCACTGTACTTTAGACCCTCTTTTTTACGGTGGACATCTTGTTATGCGCAGTAAGAGATGCGCAGTGCAAAACCAGTGAATCACCTTAATGCTTATTGGAGCTGCATTTAACCAATCACATAGTGAAATTTTAGTCTAGTTTTGATAAATTCATTGGACTTAGTGTAAATCTTATTTTCAGGTTTTCATGGCAATGAGACGAGCAGCTGGTGGGTACAAAATCACGTTTATGTCACCAACTCTGCCAGGTACTCCTCCTGCACCCACAGTTTTGACTGGAGTCCCAGCCGCTGCTGGACCTGGTAAAGAGAGTTTAAGCACTAAAATATTAGCCATACAACAGCAAAAAAAAAATTGATAAAACCCATCTTCTTCACTAGTGCAACCCTCAAGTTAAAGATTAGTGTGCTTCTGTGAGGGTGTACATGCAAATCAATCATAGTATTCCCTTAAAGTTATTAGCCATATTGACGTTCAGCATATGAAATAGACTGTTTGAAATTCCATTTCACATATTAGAAAGATACACAATTTGAAGTGGTGTGTGGAATAAGCCTTGCAGCCCCAAGTGACTCAATTCGAATTTATCTAAGGCAAATTGAAAGGAGAAATCTAGCAGTATATCAAAGTGAAAGTTACTTGAGGCTTCAGACATCCTTTTCTTTTTTACTCATGCAGTCCTGTGGTGCAATTCAACAGCACTTCCTTCCCCAGTCTTAGCCTTCTAAGCAGTCTTTTGGCTTATCAAACAGTTGTATCCAACAAACACCATCCACTATGGAGACATTATCATAGGGACTGCCGAGTTAAAAAAACCCAGTTTGCCTTTGTTAAGCTACCAGAGACCAGCAGGTATTATTAGATGTACCTGATTATCAGTATAAAGCCGATGATTACTCACTAAAAATTTTTCCTGTAAAAACTACTGGTGAAGTTTAAACAAGTGAAAATTAGCTGAGTAATTTTGTTGTTCTCAATATTTTTCCAACTCCATGACAAGTTTTATGGACACAGCTCCCCCCCCCCCCCCCCCCCCCCCCTCCCCCCCCCCCATTTTTTTTTTGAACCCCTCATTTTTAAAATTAATGTAGTTCTTTTGGTTTTTTTTTTTTTTTTTTTTTTTTGCCGTTTTTTAAAATTTGTGATCTTTTATTGGTTTTTTTTTTGATTATTCAGTTTTCTTCCACCTTTTTTTTAAACCCAGATGTCCGTTTTTAAACTACCAAAAACCATCATGGTTATTTAAGAGTACCTGATTATCAAAAAAAACGCCATGAATACTCACAAAAAATTTTTCCTTTAAAAAAAACTGGTGAAGTTTAAAAAAAGGAAAATTAGCGGAAGAATTTTTTTTTTCCCAAAATTTTTCCCACCCCATGACAAATTTTATGGACACAGCCCCCCCCCCCCCCACTCCCCCACACTCCCCCACCCTGATTATTAGTTTGAAACCATCATGTTTAAAATTAATGTAGTTCTTCTGGTTTTGTTTGTTTGTTTGTTTTTTGGCCGTTTCATAAAATTGATGATCTCTGATGAGTTCATATGTTGATCATTCAGCTTTCCTCCAGCATTTTCTACGCAATTTTTTTTTCAGTCAGCACTTTTGATCTTGGAGAGAACCAGAAGAGATGGGTTGTAATTGGGATTTGCTTGAACAAGCTTCTGTTACCAATCCTTCGGAATTTTGTGGGTCAAGAAATACCCAAACACTACACATCCCTGAAGGGTAAGTATGGAATTGACACTCAAGTCTATGGAAGACATATGACTCATGATCGAACATTTCAGCTAAATTATGGAAGCATCAACAATAACGCGGGGAATTTTAAGAAAAAAGTGCGTTCATATGATTACAAAGTTGGAACAGCTGAAGACTTGGCAAAACTTTATCTCGAGCCACACATGGCCAAGTTTACAGGTACTGATTACTTCAATGGTTTTAAAACTGAAAACGTTAATTTTCCCTACCGGTTTCCCTGGAAGCACATTTTCATGCACTATGCACATGTCCAGTCCAGGGAAAACCAGATTGCTCTTTGGTCTTTGGGATTTACAGTCAACTGTTTCTGATCGACACCTCTAACACATGGTCACCCATAGCACTCAGTTCTTGCAGTCAGAGTTGCACTCAGACAGTCAGGTTTTTTTTCTTGGAGGAGAAGCGGGAGGAATGGGGACGCTGAGAGTAAGGGTGGTGCTTCGGGAACACAAAAATGTGGCCTGGGTTCTTGTCCCGGCATCAGTGCCTTCATGTTGTATTGAGTTTGTTCCCAGGGTATCCAATCGATGGCAATCGATGATCGGAAAAGCAATCAATAGATCGATATCAATTGATAAAATTAGCTAATTGATATCGATTGGCATCGATCAATGGATGATCAATCCATAGTCACATAAGAATCACTCATCGACTGCTATCGATTGGCTATCGATGGGATCTTTGCGGTTGATTTCCTGTTACACACGAGCCCGATCCATGAACCGTGAATTATGATAACAGTTTAAAACATGCTGCAGAACCGAAACGAAAAATGCTAAAACTGAATAGCCGATCGCGTATTATTACGATGCAAGAAAGGAATGTCTGTTTTACCTTTTACTCCATGTTTTATTTCTTTAAGATATAGTTGGTGCCTTTATAGAATGTTTTTGTATTAGGTACAATTTATTTCCTCGCGAAGAGAGCGAGGTCTTAGCTAGCTGCAAACTTGGAAGCACCATATTTCTATTTATTTATGAATCTATCTATCGCTTGGTGTCCACCCTGACGTCATCTAGTGTGTAACGTTACGGAGCATTTTGTGTTTCCAGGCGAACACCAAAGAGTGTCTTACAGCCAGCGAGCAAGTTCTAAATTTGAGGGATATCTTGAAAAGTAAACGCGCGAGAGGCACGCGAGAGAAGACAGGACAGCGGGGGCGGGGGGAGAGAAATTTATGTCTCCCCCCCTCGCGGCTTCGCCACTCGCTCGTGCGTACTCGCAAAAATAGGAGAACTTGCTTGCAGGCTTAGTGTCTTAGTGCTTTTCGCAATGAATTTCAAATGCAAAAGTACTTTTAAGAGCAAATGGAAGCGATTTGGATCATTAGCCTTAGGATATGAGCGAAAATCGAGGTAACAAAACACACGTTCTACTCGCAGACGAGTTCACCATATCGGCTTAATTGGGCATCTGTTCTTTAAATGCG